CCCCAAAACCCCAAAACCCCAAAACCCCACTTATATAGATTAATTCGATACTTGTAAATTTAATATAAAGTAAAATTATCAGTAAATCAAGTTCAAGTTATTGCTTAATGATTAATATTTGTTGGCAATCAGGTAGTTCATTTTGCAGATTAAAACTTTCTCTTTTCATAAAACTTAGGGATTAGCTTTTTCAAAACAGCATCTACAGAGTGGTTCATAAACTCCCTTCCATCCCACTAGTTCAGTCTCCTTATTTTATACTATACAATACATTATCTTCATTTTAAATATACCTATTCTATGAGTGAAGGGTGCATTTTGGCCACATTAATTGCAAATTGCATTTAGCTTAATGATATCATCAGAATATGGGATTAACTGTGGAATTTATCCAAAATTTTTACGCTCAAATGTCCCGTCAAGAGCAGATATAATAATGATCTTATCTTTCCTCACATATTCAAGACATTTATCAAATAAATCTGGGTAAAACTACCCCTCATCAATGCCTAATACTTAGAAATCATTTATTTATTCGTCAAGATCAGCAAGTTTTGTTATTCCTTGAACTTTTAAGTTACCATTTCTACAAATAAATGCGCTTAGAATAATTGAGAAAAAAACTAATGGGAATATTTGGAGTTTCTGATCACTTACACTTTTTGAAGTTAGACTGTTTTGAAAGTTTCTTCAAGTTATCTATGGTCCTTTTGATATTTAGCTAGAATCGATTTTCTCTAAGCTAAAGAGTGTCTCAATACTCTTCTAAACATCTCAGAAGACTTGCCAGAGAACATTGGCCCAAGCACTAGTTCTATTCTACCGGCTTAAATAAATTTGTTCATCTAACAGATTCTGCTTTGGAGTATTAAATTTCTATTGATTATATTTTATCTTTTGATAAAGTCAAAGGTTAATTTATTTAATTTGTGGTTTAAAATTTTTCTACAAAAATACTTTTTACGAAAATACTTTCTAACGGGGTTTTGGGGTTTTGGGGGCTGAAGACTC